CATGCCTTTAATCCCAGCACTTGGAGGCAGAGCCAGGAGGATCTCTGTGAGTTCGAGGCCAGCCTGGTTTCACAGAGCAAGATCCAGGACAGGCACCAAAACCATATGGAGAAACCCTGTCTCAAAAAAACCAAAAATAAATAAATAAATAAAATAAAAATTAAAAACAAAAAATAAAAACAGTCTTTGACAGGAATTCACCAGTCAAAGCCACAGGCTGCCGGCTGCCCTGGTAACTCCCTTTTCAGCTGAGTGATTTGGACAACTTAGTTCACTCTTCTGGACCTAGGTTTCCTCGATTGTTTAGTACTCCCTGCCTTTACACTGGTGTTGGAGCATTTGGTGAGGTTATTTGGCAAGCTTGGCACCTCAAAGCTCTTGCCGAGCAGCATCCTAATGCCTCCTGTGGAAGAATCCTCTTGCTAACTGACAGCTGCCTGAGGAGCTCCTAAAGACCCGCCTAGTGCGCAACTCTCAGTTTTGTGGCTCCACTGCTGAATTACACAGAACACCGGTATCAGCTGCTCAGGGAAACTGCTCCTGTCATTTAGCAGAAAAGTGACAGGTTTACGCTAATCACACTTCCTGTACCCAGTCCTGTTTTTTTTTTTTTTTTTTTTTTTTTAATTAACAATCCTAAACCTCAAGGAGAATTTATTTGTAAATTCTTAAGTTCTGCAAGTTAAAAGTTTTCAGGGGGAAGTCAGGCAGTGGTGGCACACGCTTTTAATCCCAGTACCAGAAGGCAGAGACAGGAGGATCTCTGTGAGTTGGAGGGCCAGACTGGTCTGCGTAATGAGTTCCAGAACAGCCAGAGCTATATGGTGAAACCTCGTCTTTGTGATGCATGCATAGAGTATACATGGTATGTATTTTAAAAGAAGAAACATTAAGTTAAACTGACCCAAAGATTGTTTTGTTATCAGAAAAGCATTGCATTCTTAAATTACTAATTTCATAAATAAGGTAATTTTAAACTTTGTTTATCTTTCATTTGAAACAAGGTCTTACTGTCTGGACCAGAACTCCAAATGTAATACAGGGTGGTCTTTAACACCGATCATCTTGCTTCTGCCTGCTGAGTGCTGGAATTACAGGCTTGCACCATCACACCTTGTTAAAAGTTAGTAATTTACATTATTAGTAAATTTGAACTAACTTACCATTGAATAAATTCACTTTATATTTATCTATACTATTTAAAACAAAGCAAAGAACTTGATAAATACTCAAATATTAAACACTAATTTTTTTTTTTTTAATTGAGACAGGGTTTCTCTGTGTAGCCCTGGCTGTCCTGGAACTCAATCTGTAGACCAGGCTGGCCTCAGACTTACAGAGATCCATCTGCCTTTGCCTCTGCCTCCTGAGTGCTGGGATTAAAGGCATGCCCCACCACTGCTCAACCCTAAATATTCTTGTATTTATCTTTTTTTTTTTTGAGACAGGGTTTCATTATATGTCCCTGATTGTCTCAGAACTTTCTTTGTAGACCAGGCTGGCCTTGAGCTCACAGAGATCAGCTTGGCTCTGCCTCTCAAGTGCCAGGATTAAAGGTGTGTGCTACCATGCACAGCTTATTATATTTATCTCATACTGGATATTTTAAACTTCTTTGGTAGGTGGGTAGGGGAATAAGGACTCAGTATGTAGCCAAGGCTAGCCCTGAATTCAGTATCCTCCTGTCTCAGGCCCTCAAGTCTTGGAGTACATGCTACTAGCTCAAGCTCAATTTTGACTTTGGTATATCACGTGACTTTGAGCAGAGAGATGGTCTAGCTTTGGGTCAAGTCTGCAATGCCTTTAAATATGTCTCTCAGAGACGCGGCACTGGTGAGAGAGTACTCATTTTGGATTGGCAGATCTCAACTCAAATTCTTCATCTATTCTGAAAAAGTCTTGTGAAGTCGGGTGAGAGACTGTAATCTCAGCACTTGGGGGGCTGAGGAAGGCAGAGAGCCGTGAGCTCAAGGACAGCATCACTACAGAGCAAGACCCTTTCTCAGAACACACAAATGAACAAAGCCCAGTGAGAACCAAAACAGCATCCAGAGTGCCTCATGCCTGTGAGGCTGATGCAGAAGGCCAGCCTGGCTGGCTTAGGGAACAGACCTTGCTGAGTGTGGTGGCCAATGCCTTAATGCCAACAGAGGCAGGTGGGATCTCTGAGTTCCAGGCCAGCCTGGTTTATACAGCAAGTTCCAGGACAGCCAGGACCACACAGAGAAACCCTGTCTTGAAAAACAAACAAACAAAAAAGTTTAAAAACTATAGTGAGTAGACCTTGTCTCTTTAAAAGAAAAAAAAAAGTACACACTTAAAAAAAAAAGTATGTATGTGTCTCGATTACTTGGCAGGTAATGGTGCATGCTCTCAGTTGACTGGGGTTCAATTCCCAGAGCCTACATGGTAGAAGGAGGGGACTGATTCCTACCGGTTGCCCTCTGATTTCCACACATGAACTGTGGCAAGCGCCTGACCCATCCACCAAATAAATAAAGTCTTGTGTCCTCTAAGCTAGTAGCAACAGGGGAATGGTTAGCCCCTTTAGAGAGCTTTTGTGGTGATTAAACAAAGAAAGTGGAACTGGGGATGCAATTCAGTTGCAAAACACGGGTTTACTAAGCTCAAAGTTCTGGGTTCAATCCCCGGCATGGGACTAGAAGGGGAGCAATTAGAGAGGCAGCTGTACTCCTGGGCTCTCCTGACTGGTGCACTTCTCACCCCTTCACAGAAGCTGCTTTCCTTTTCTACTTTTTTTTTGGGGGGGGGGGTAGGTTAGTGTTTTTGAGACAAGGTTTTTCTGTGTAGCCGTGGCTGTCCTGGAACTTCTGCCCTTTGAAAGCTGGGATTAAAGGTGTGTGTGAGTCGCCACCACTGCTCTGATGAAGCTACATTTTGCAGCCAGTGGAGGTTACCACAGAGAACCACAACTGGTCAAAACACAGAGAAAAGTGACCTTGGATACCCATCCCCCAAGGGGGCATCTGTAACAACTGCTACAGCCGAGGCTAAGGTTGTGGAAGAAGGGGGGGGGACACACTGTAAGAGCCGGGGGACCAGGAGGATGGCTGTAACAATGTCCTCTGGACCTGGCAGAGGTGCTACAGTCGTGAATTCTCAGCAGCTGTGGCTGCGGGCTCAAGACCACACTAGCAAACACATCAGCATGGGTCGGGAAGGGCTCACAATCATCCCCAACCCCACAAGCTGAGAGTCTTCAGGAAATCCATGGCTGTTAAAAGAGGAAGAGACAGTTCCGTCAGGGACAAGCCCGGGGTGCCCATACCCCTGGGGCAGCCCTACACCCATGTGCGTGTGGCAAACACTGATCAGATGCAGTAGGCTCTATGTATATTATATTCATACAGTGATGCGTATATGTCATCTATTATATATGCTATAGAAGAAGATGCCATGTATTTGAGGGGGGGTGTGGGGACACAGGAGGATTTGGAGGGGAAGGGTGGGTGTGACCATAACTCATTGTACTTATGTATCAAATTCTAAAAATAAATGAAAAGGAAAAGAATAAAAAGGAAATAGAACACTTTTCCTTGGTTATATGTAAAAGTCAATCCTTTCCCTTATTCCTTTTAAACCGCTGATATTTCGTAAAAGTGACTAATTTCGTTTTCACTTCCTTTCATTCACAGATTTCATTAGGGGCCGCAGTCCAGTGACCTGCAGGGTCACAGCCTGGCCAGGGCACACCCTCCCCACGGTGGTACCTTATCTCTGTGAGCAGGGAAGCAGGAAACAGAGCCGAGCTTTCCTGTCGCTGGCTCGTTCTTGCCTGTCTTGGCTTTCCAGGGTGTGACAGCTACCTCTCCGCTGGCCTCTGCAGGGATGGCTCGCCCATCCCGAACTGGATAGCTCTTCGGTGTGTCTCAACACAGTAAAGTCTTCCACGTGTGAACAGGATACTCGAGTCGGCACTCAGGACCCACAGATTCCATTACCGGTGTTTACTTTAAAATTCCCCAAGTAAATCTGAACAACTAGATTGATGTTTTGCCTCAGGACTGCTCACACCAACTTACGAGAACCGAGTGAAAGGGGAAGGGTCTGACCCCAAGACTCATGAGAGGGTTTGTTCAGCCCACAGACTGGAACGGCTGACAATGACTGTTAACCAATTGTTCCCTAGTAATTAATTGTTTTGTTTCAATGTTGAAGGACTTAAGGTAAATCTTCTACCACAATGCAAAAAAATATATTACATCTGCAAATGCTTACAAACCCCTTAAGCGTATATTTGTACTGACTTAGGACTCCCATTATGGATGCCAATGCCTTTGAATGTGGCCAAGATATGTGTATTAGCAATCTTAAAAACTAAAGACCGTGAAGCCAGTGAGACACTCAGCGGATAAAGGCGCCAACCAACACCAAGCCCGATGTGACAATGGATGAGATAACTGTCTCCCACAGGTTAGTGCACAAGTGCGCCCGAATAGAATGCAATAAAAGTTTTTAGAAGGTGAGGGCCACATACTGAGCAGACTCTGAAACGCCATCTTGCACAGGAAAAACTTAAAAACAAAACCCTTCAAATTCTTAGAACTCTGAAGGACACTCAGAAAGACATTCAGAACATTTCCCTTTAAGATTTGAATCTAATTTCTGTTTCTTCCAGTCAACAGGATCTTCTTAAATTGCTCTCTTCCTCAAATATCTATCATCTATCTATGTGTCTATATATGTATGTATGTATCCTCTATCTATGTATCTATGTATCTATGTATCTATCTATCTATCTATATCTTTCTAGGGTTTTTTTTTTTTTTTTGAGACAAGGTCTCTACATAACCCCGATTGTCCTGGTATTGACTATGTAGACCAGGCTGGCCTTGAACTCACAGAAATCCTCTTGCCTCTGCCTCTTAAGTGCTGGGATTAAAGGCATGTGTCACCACGCCCACCCCTGATTACAATTCTCTAACTCTCAAATTGAGAATGCTATTTCTGTCCTCATCACGCAGAACCCAGCCACAAACCTGTTATCATCTGCTGGGCGTCGTAGGGTTCCATGTAGCCGTCATTTTCTCCCACTCTCTCTGCGTCTCTTTGACCTTTCGTCCGTTTGGCATCATACGGGTCAGCATAGTCTTCTAAAATGATAACCTGTCCAATGAGAAAGGACAGCTGCTAAGGAGTTCCCAGATACGAAAATCCCAACAGCATTACCGAAACCTCCTACAGGAACAAGGAGTCAGAAATCTCTCATGAGTTCTGGCAGCTTTTGTACTTGATCATATATCTCTGTCAGACAAACTTTTTTTTTTGTACTTGATTTGTGACAGTTCACCTAAACTCTTGCTTGTGGGTTAGAGGGTGGCAGGGTGGGCAGTGGGAAGTGCAGGGTATCTGTAGCCTCAGTGCACAAAAAGAATTGTTCTACCACATCCTGACAGCTCAGAGTCTGCTGTCAGCTAAGTGATATAGTCCCCGTGAATCAGTCACCTCACAGCACTGAGTTGGGTCAAAATGAATCTAAGACCTGCTTCCTGGCCTCAAGGAATTTTTTTTTTTTTTCGAGACAGGGTTTCTCTGTGTAGTTTGGTGCCTGTCCTGGATCTTGCTCTGTAGACCAGGCTGGCCTCCAACTCCCAGAGATCTGCCTGGCTCTGCCTCCTAAGTGCTGGGATTAATGGCGTGTGCCACCACCGCCCTGCATGCCTCAAGGGATTTTTAAGAGCTCCAAAGAGACAGGCTTCCCAGGCTAGCACTGAACAGTACTGCAGACGTTCTGGGTTCCATAATTCACAGGGAGAGTGATTCAGCAGCTACAAACCAGACAGAATTTCGATGGTGTTTGTGTCCAAGAGCATCTATCATACCAAACCCACAGGGCGCATGGAGAAGCTCTGTGTGCACAGCAGTTCTGTTCGGTAGCGGCTGAGTGACACCACAGGGTGAGACCCCTTCTCAGGAGGAAGCCAGAGCCCCGCCCGCTCCACAGTCTCTAGCAGAACATCCTCTAGAAAGCTCATGAGGTACTACAGGAGCACGAGGAAAGAATTCAGACAGTTAAAGAAGTGAAGAGAATGGAACAGACTGGAAGAATCTGCCACCTTGGAGAAGACAGCCTAAGAAACGTCAACCACCCAGAAGTGACACCCACCACAGGGGACGGTGATTGCCACTCACCCCACCCCGTTCTTGACACCTGCTCCACATGCTGTAACTCGGATACAGCAGGGAAGACAGGATGTGACACTCAGTCCTTGGCTCTAAGCTGCTGTGAGGGTCTCCACCAACAGTGAGGTACACCCCCCAGTTATATACAAGACGCGTCCACATCCATCTTCCAATGGCTCTGCTCAGTGCCTGGCACCGGACAGGCACACTAAACATTGCTGTGAACTCTTGAATGGAGCAGTGAACAGGCACCCAATATATGCCACCTTACGCATGCCACAAATCCCTGGCAGGCTAGGTAGGCAGCTTGTTGAAAGCCAAGAGGAAATTAAAGCCCCTCACCAGGAAGGGGTTGCTTGGGCTGAAGCCTAAAGTCTGGGCGGGAGCTCTTCTCTCTCCCCATTTCTCACAGGACAGAAAGCCCAGCTCTGCCCTGTAAGGATGGAGAGTAAGCTCACAGGTCCACTCCTCCCCTTCCTTACCTTTCCCACACTGGACAGCACCCAGAAGCCCTTTGGTGACTAAGATGCAGGAAACACCTTCTCTCCTGATCTGCAATTTCCTTAAGGGCATTTCCCGCTGCCCCCTTAGTGCCCATGGCCCTTACTCTATAGCACAGCAAATATCCACAGAATGAATGGAAGGCCCGTCATCTTGGAGATGCTGGAACTCTGAGAGGTTGGGGAGATGGGCAATCTACACTTCACAGTTTACACGCTCCTGTTGCTCTGTATGCTCAAGAGGTGTAAGCCATACAGAAGTCTAGCTTTGGTAGACCCCTTGACGACAAACTTGAAAACAAGAACCAGGGTATACCACACCCATAAAAGGGCCAATTTCTTTCCCTTCCCATCAACTGCTCTTCTAAACCACGAACAAAAACCAAATACATCAAACTTTGCAGCCACGGTCTCGAAGCCTGGGCGAGAATCTTTCCAAGAGAAAGTCAGTCTAATGATTTTTAAATGGTCACTTGGGAGTCAGAATGGACTCGGGGGGACCTTAGAAAACATCTTCAACTTATCTCACACATAAAAAAATATTGGGGTTCATCAGGCTCCCATGAGCCTCCCCCCTCCCGCCCCGCACTGAGACAGGTGGGTAGAGACGCTGTATTCTTACCGTGTCTTGTTTCGTTATCTTGGCCTTGTCCAGCTCGGGGCCCAGGGAGGAAGGTGAAGAGGACGCAGAGGAAGAGGAGCTGCTGGAGCTGCTGGAGCTGCCGCCACCCGGGTAGCCACCCTTGCCGTTCTTCTCCTGCGTGTCCACCTTGATGAGCCTGCTGATGTAGGTGCTGCAGCCCGCGCTCTTGGCCACCGCACCCCGGTGGGGCTCCTCCTCAGTGGCGGCAGCGGGGGCGGTGGCGGTGACCCGGGAGTTCTTCCGACCCTTGCCGGCCGCGGCCTGGATCAGACCCTGCAGGCTGTCCCGTGACAGTCGGCTGTCTTTGGGGGGTCCGCCGCCGGCCCTGCTGCCCCCCAGCTCGGCCGCCGAGTTCTTCCGGCCCTTGCCCGGGGTGGCCGCCGAGCCGCCCGTCTCCGAGTTCTTGCGCGGCTTGCCGCCGGCGCCCCCGGGCCGGGCGCGCTCCGACGCCGTCTTCAGGGTCAGCGGGAACTCCTTGAACCACTTGGCCGCCATCAGGGGGCCCGGGAGCGTCGGGGCCGCGGAAGAGACGAGCGAGGAGACCCAGCCGAGACACCGAGTGGCGCCAGGAGCCGGGGGCCGCCGCATTCCCCGGGGCTGGGCGCTGGAGGCAGAGGCGCGCGCCGGGCAGGGTGGGACCCTGGCCCGAAGCTGGACGGGCGGGCGCGGGCTCTTGCGGCGCCGTGTCCTCTGCGCTCCACCGCCAGCGGCCGCCGGGCGCCGGGGCTTCCCCTGCTTTTCCTCCAGAGGTGGGCGAGGCCGAGCCCACGGAAGCCCCCGGCAGGCAGCCCTGCCCACCCTCGCAGGGACGACAGCGGCTGCAGTGCCCGGGCGCCCGCCTCACGGGGGACGCACAGGACGGACGCACGGACGGACGGACGCACCCCTCCCTCGGGGGCGTCGGGGGACCCCCCGCGTGCACGCCGGCCTCGCCCCGCGACCCCCTGTCTGCAGACGGGACGTGCGCGGCGAGAGTGGCCTGGAGTCGCGCTCGGGGACGACTGTCGCCAGCGCCCCCGCTACGTCCCTTGCTCTCCGCGTCCGGGGCGCGGCCTTCCCTGCGCGCATGGAAACAGGCGCGAGGGGCGAAGGCTCGAAGCTCGGCCCGGCGGCCGCGTGCGAGCCTGGACCACACGGACCACGCGGGCTCCCGCGCACCTACGGCCTGGGCTGCCGGCCGGGCGAGGAGGGCGACCGGGTCCCCGAGGAGGAAGAGCGTGGTGGCCCTGACCGGCTCCAGACAGAGAGAGACTGCGCCTCTGCCCTCTGCGTGCTCTCTTTCTCTCTTTCTTCTCTAGCTAGTTGGTTCTCTCATTCTCGCTCTCTCCTCAAAGCAATTTCAAAGCTTTTTGGTTAAGAGGATTAAGTCTGAGCGTGAAACTAAACCTTTTCGTTTAAAAAACGTTAAACGTGGCAGTTACTTACAAGCCTTCACTGGTAGACCTGCGTGCGTACTTTTGAGTCAGAAAATGTATCTTTTCCTTTTTCCAGATACAGGCCAAAATACCAAGCTCGCCTGACCTGACAGTCGGAACTTTCTTGCGGTGCTGATGTCTTCCTTCCCCTTCTTCCCCTCTTTCCCCGCTCCCTCTCTCCCTTCTCCCTCTCCTATGGAATCCAAATTTGCCCCTAGTTCTGTGCATTGGAGGACGATCTAGCTGGGATGGCAAAGGGCGCGCCACCGCTGCGAATCTCACGTGGTGCTGAGGATGGAGCCTAGGGCTTCCTGCTCGGTAGACAAGCACTCTCCCAACAGAGCTAGTCTTCAGCCATGTGCAGCTTTTGACAGGTTTCCATTACTGATCTGGGTGTGTGTGTGTGTGTGTGTGTGTGTGTGTGTGTGTGTGTGTGTGTGTGTGTGTGTGTATGTGTAACTTTCTCCGCCCCTCCTCCCCGCCTTTCTCTCACCTGCAAGGGTTTACAGTTTGCCTGCTCTTTTTTTTTTCTTTCAAACTCGAATAAAATCATCTTCGAACCTCAAAGTAAAAATAAAACAACAATAAATAAATAAATAATAAACAAATAAATAAATAAAACAACGGAGACGTACGGGGGAGACTTACGCAGCAGGTTCGAAAGTTGGAGCTACAGGCTGTGGAAAATGGATAGCAGCAGCCTCCATCAGCTTGGAAGAAATGCAGGCTCAACCTGACCATTCAGACTCTAAAAAGTCATCTTAACTTAAATTGAGGCATAATTTGGATGTCACCAAATTCAGCCATTTAAAGTGTATACTTACGGGATTTTAATATATTGAAGTCTCATAATCTGATTTTAAGACAGATCCCCCTAATAGGTGGGGAGGTAGCTTAGTTGATATCATGCTTGGCATGTAGGCATGAGAACCTGAGTGTCAACTCCAGCACCCAGAAAGAAAACCCCTGGGAATCACACTGTCCTAATCCCAGTGCTGGAGAGGCAGGGGAGAACAGATCCCAGGACTCCATCGCCAGCTAGCCTACCCTAATGGGCAAGCCCCAATTCCAATTAAGAAACCTCTTAAAAAACAAAGTAGACATTGTTTTTTTTTTTGGTTTTTCGAGACAGGGTTTCTCTGTGTAGCTTTGCGCCTTTTCCTGGAACTCACTTGGTAGCCCAGGCTAGCCTCGAACTCACAGAGATCCGCCTGGCTCTGCCTCCCGAGGGCTGGGATTAAAGGCATGCGCCACCACCGCCCGGCCAAAGTAGACATTGTTGAGGAAGGACATTCAAGGTTGACTTCTGGCCTGCATACATGTGCAAACATGTCCTTTACCACACTTGAATATTTACACACACATCCCCTCCCAAAAAAAATCACTATTCCAGAAGGAAACTTAATATTTATTAGCAGCTACTCCTCATCCCCGCCTCCATGGGCAGTTTATTATTAGCTGTGGTTCTCTAGTCTAGAGGAACAGAACACACACACACACACACACACACACACACACACACACACACACACACACAAACACACACTGAATTGTTGGCTTACAAAATAAAGTCTGGGTAGCCAAACAGTGGCTTTCTCACATCAGAGAGGCCAAGACCCTGGTAGATGTTCAGTCCACCATGTTGAATGTCTCACCAGTTCCAGCCTGGCACAGAAGGCCTGGAGGATTCCTGGAGACTTATGGCCTGAGTCTGTGTTGGGAGCCTAAAGGAGCTGGTTCTACTACCCCCAAAGGGATGCAGTAGCAAAGGTTGGATGAACTTCCCTGCAGAGTGCCAGCAAGCAGGCAAAAGGCAGGCTTCCTTCTTCCATGCCCTTTGCATCTGGGCTGACACCACAAGGTGTGCCCACATTTAGCACCATCAAGAAAGTCCCTCACAGGAGTGCCCAGCAGCTTGTCTTTCCAGATCCAATCAAGTTGACAAGGAAGATTGTCACCATCTGTTTTGTTTTTACATGTTTGACTGCTCTGGAAGTTTCGTGTCATTGGAATCACACACGTGACCTCCTTGGTCTGCCTGTTGTCTTAGTATCCTCTTTGAAATCCATGCACACTGCACACATGCGCACCCTTCATTCATTTTATATTGCCCAGTAATATTTTTGTGGTGCTCATGTGTCACTGATAACATTTGGATCATTTTCACTTTTTTTTTTTTTTTTTTTGGTTTTTCGAGACAGAGTTTCTCTGTGTAGCTTTGCACCTTTCCTGGACCTCGCTTTGGAGACCAGGCTGGCCTCGAACTCACAGAGATCCACCTGCCTCTGCCTCCTGAGTGCTGGGATTAAAGGCATGCGCCACCACCGCCCGGCTCTACATTTTACTGTTATAAAAATGCTATGAATATTAGTGAAAAAGTCCTTTTGTGGATATATGTTCAAATTTCTCAGGACTGGAATGGTCAAGTCCCGTGGTAACTCGCTGTTTTGACTTTTTGAGAAGCTGCCAAACCCCTTTTCAAACTCTCTGCATCATTTTACACCAGCAGCATGCCAGGCTGTCCACACCTGGACACGCCACACCCTGGAGTTGGGTGTTTTGACTTAGAGCTGTCCCACTGAAGTGGTAGCATCATGCTTTTGTTTTGCATTTCTCTAGTAGCTAAAGATGTGGAACATTAGCTAGGTGTGAGAGTACATACCTAAAATCCCAGAACTCGGACAGCGGGGCCAGGAGGGCCAGGAATTTAAGGCCAGCCACCTGAGAGTCCGTCTTAGTTACTGTTCTGATGCTGTGAAGAGACACGATGACCAAGACGATTTATAAAATAAAGCACTTAACTGGGAACTTGCGGAACAGTTTCAGGGGGTTAGTCCATTATTGTCGCAGTGGGGAGCGTGGCAGTAGGCAGGTAGACACGGTGCTAGAGCAGTAGCAGTGAATCTTGGTCTGGCATGGGCTTTTGAAGCTCTCAAAGCCCACCCCAGTGACACACCTCCCCCAACAAGTACACACCTACTCCAACAAGGCCACACCTCCTAATCCTTCCCAAACAGTTCCACTAACTGGTGACTAAGCATTCAAATATATGAGCCCATAGGGCTCATTCTCATTCAGAGCCTTTTTTTTTTTTTTTTAAAAAAAAAGACACGGAACATCTCTTTGCTATTTGCATAGTTTTGGAAAAATATTTCAGATTGTTTATTCCTTTTTGTCTTGTTACTGATTTGTAAAGTTTTTTCACATAGTCTTACATTTTGAAAAGCAAACAAGGACCAAAAAGATGGTTCAGCAGGTGAAGGTACTTGACACCACATCTGAGAACCTCAGTTCTATCCCTGGGACCCACAGTAGAAGGAGAGAACTGGTTACTACAAGTTCTTTGATTTGCATACACACACACACACACACACACACACACACACACACACACACACACACTCTCCACTCTAAATAAATAAGTGTAATTAAAATGTTAATAAACAAAGATTAAGAAATGAAACATGTGACACTTCTCAGCCCCAGTATTAGAAGTGGGAGGAGCTCAGGACTCAAGTCACCAGGTTAGATTATAGACAGTCAACAACCAAAGAACAAGAAGACTCTAGGTTTCTGAGCAGACTCCAGGAGACTGGTGCTCAACCTGCGGGTCCTGACCCCTTTGACAAGCTTCTAAATTCAAAATTATTTATATTACAATTCATAACAGTATCAAAATTACAGTTACGAAGTAGCAACAAAATAACTTGATGGAGGTCACCACAATTAAGGAGCTATATAAAAAGATCCCAGCATTAGGAAGGCTGAGAACCAGTGTGCTAGGAGATGATGGAGAAATGACCAGGTTCTGGTCTCTGAGCTTTGGTGCCTCCTTTTTGGTTTTTTTTTTTTTTTTTGGTTGGGGATTAAATGAGGTTGTGTAAGAGCGTGCTCATCATAACACCAGGCAGGCCAGTGAGGCATCTTTGAAAGTTTCTGCTGAGTCTATACTTGGGAAGTCTTGGTGCTTGCCTGAGTCCAAAAGACCATACACATTTCCGTGGTTCGACAGGAAGTTTGGATGGACAGTCTATGTCCAGTTTTCTCCATAAACTTCTTCACTCACTCCTGAGCACTGCCTTAGCTGCTCTTGGCTTTGTTTGGATTTATTTGCCCACAAAGTAGCTGTTTCTTCCCACAGCTGGGAACATTTTAGAAAAAAGTATTTCTCTTTAATAGTTAACACTTTAGCTGGACCTGGGGGTGCGTGCAAGTAATTCCAGAACATGGAAAGTAGAGGACTGGAATATCAAGAATTTAAGGCCATTTTTGGCTACCTAGTGAGTTCAAGGCCATTCTGCGCTACATGAGACCTTGTCTCAGAAAAACATATCAGCAGCAATAATACTAATACTGATACTAATACTAATAGTAACACTAATATTAATGCTAGTTTTAAGCCAGGTGTTAATTCCAGCACTGTGGTGGCAGAGGCAATAGGTCTCTGTGAGTTTGAGGCCAGTGTGGTCTACACAGGAATTCCAGGTTAGCCAAAGGTACACCGACTTTGTCTTTAAAATTA